CAGAGAATGAGCAGTGGAGGGGCAGAGAGAGGGGGAGACACAGAATCTGAAGCAGGCTCCAGCCTCTGAGCTGCCGGCACAGAGCCCGTCGTGGGGCTCTAATCCACCAGCCGTGAGATCATGACCTGAGCCAAAGTCGGACACTTAACCAACTGAACCACCCAGGCACCCCTGGGCTTTGTGTTTTTAATGAAGAAGACTGATTCAGGGTGCCTGGGTGGCTCAGTCAGTTAAGCATCAGACTATTGATGTCGACTCAGGTACTGATCTCATGGTCGTCATATCAAGCCCTGTGTCAAATTGGGCTCCGAGCTGTGCGTGGAGACTGCTTAAGATTCTCTCTCTCCCTATGCTCCTCCCCCATTTGCATGCGTGTGTGCATGTACACGTGGTCTCTCTCTCTCAAAAAAAGAATTCTAATTCTATTCTGTATCCTGAGTTTTTAAATGAGATATAGGGTTGTTATTCTGTTGGAATACCATGTTGTGAAAATTCTAGCAAATAAACAATATGAAGAAAAGTGTTTAGAGCAGGTAAAAGTATGTTGAATTTTTTACTTTAAGACTTTTATAAGCTTTATAAATGAAATGTGACTATTTTTTCTTCTATTTCACTGTATATTAGTGTTATTAACGTATCCAGCAATTATAACATAATTACTTTATGATGAGTTTTAAAGGAACAAATTGTCTATTTTAGAACAAAGTTGTTCATTTTATTAAAAAAATTTTTTTAAGTTTATTCATTTATTTTGAGAGAGAGACAGCATGCATGGGGGAGGGACAGAGAAAGAGGGAGAGAGAGACTCCCAAGGAGGCTCCTCGCTGTCAGCACAGAGCCCGACATGGGGCTCGAACTCACAAACCATGAGATTGTGACCTGAGCTGAAATCAAGAGTCAGGTGCTTAACCGACTGATTTACCCACATGCCCCCAAAGTTGTTTTTTTTCAAATGTCCACCATCATAACAATTATTCAATAAATGTGAATTCTCAAAAACAAAGTCTGTATATATTTTTTAATTTTTTTTAGGATTGTAGAAGAATACCATGACTTATACACATTGCAAAGAGGAAGGATGGAGTGTGATATTAAACAGTTAATGTCAGAAAGAGATGTCTGGAGCTCAGCCACATATGAATTGGCCCTAAAGGTTGGTTCATCTGGAATCATAACTCAGACTTCTTTTTTGCTGGATCAGTTTTGCTTTACCATTTTTTTTTTGCTTTATCATTTTTAGTAATCTAGACAAATTTAAAAAATGAAGATGTGTATTTAATTTATGAATAATGTGGCTATGATTGATGGGCCTTGAGAAAGGAAAGTTACATTTTTTTCTTTTGTTTCTTCTCTGTTGAGTACCTGGCTATTGCCCAGTTAAGGGCTCTTTTTCTCACCAGAATCTAAGAAGTATAAGGAAGAATACTTTTTCTATTGTTTGTGAGCATGTTAAAATTTTCAACTTCTGCTTATACTAATTATAAACTAGGAAGTGTTATTTATATTTTTTCGCACAGTGTAACCATATTAGGATTATATCACTTTGGTTCTATTACCTTGGCATCTAAGATGACAAATGAATTGAAATATGGCAGTCTGTAGGTCATTACTGTAATACTTTAGGCAAGTACCAAACATCTGGGACTTGTGTTTACTAAGTATTAACCAGAAATTATGACCCTCAACATATTCACACTTTTGTCTCATTTTCCTCTGGAATGGTCAGACCTCATCTAGTATACAGTAT